CTCTCTCTCTCTCTCTCTCTCTCTCTCTCTCTCTCTCTCTCTCTTTTAGTTGTTTATTTTGAGATAAGGGCTTACTAAATTGCTCAGGCTGGTCTGGAATTGATTCTATAACCCAGGCTGGCTTTGAATTTGGCGACCTTTCTGCCTCAGCCTCCCAATTAGCCAGCAGCATCACCGTCACCCATTCAGGTTTCTGTGTGCCAACCCTTGATGCAGTCGTGACCCGAGTACCTCTATTGTTTTTGGGGCCCCGGCCCGGCACCCTGTCCTAGGTGAGAAAGTGGGCAGGGCGGGGCTGGAGTAGGGGTGGTAGAAACACTCTTTCTTTTTCCCTGCAGCTGGATTAACATGCCCAGTCTGTGGTCACCCTCTTCAGACAGTGTGTCTTCCCCAAGTCAGAAGTCTGTGGGAAGTGCACAGAAGGCCCTGTCTCCTTGTTCCCCCACCAGTTTATCCTGTGATGATGGGAGCTCACAGGATACTGCGCAGCGGTGAGCAGCTGGGAGAGAGAGGTTTCTGCATTTTGGGGCCCCTTCTATATCCTCAGCAGCTTTCCTCTCTTTGTTCTCCTCTCTTTGTGATAGTATGTGTGGGACTGTAAAAATATCAGAAATGCTGTATGAAGGTGGATGTGGTGAAACACACCTGTGATCCCAGAACTTGGGCTGTGGAGGCAGGAGGATCAAGAGGTTAAGGACAGCTGTGTAGTGAGTTTAGCTAGCCTGGACTGCACGAGGCTCTGCGTTCAAACAATAAATAAAAATAAACCAACCAAACAAAAAATGGGCAGCGGGGAAGGGAGAAGAGAGGAAGGGGAGAAATGCCATACTGGGTCACACTGGAGACTCCTCCTAACACTGCTGACTGTTTCTTGACTGTCTTACATCTTACAAACATCAAGAATATCACATCTTAAATGTAAGTTGAAAGGGCCAGCCCGGGGGCTACATAGCTAGACCCTGAAAAAGAACATAGTACACGTCTAGTTTTGAATTCATCTTGTAGCCAAACCTGTCTTGGACATGTAGCAGTGCTTAGCACATAGCAGTTTCTAGTGGAATCAGGGACTGAGAACTGTATAAATAAAGAGTGCTTTATTTGTTGCTTGAAAATATGTGTTTTTTTAATTCGTGTCCTGTAGTTCTATGGTCTATGATTCTTACAGCTTTATGAGTTTATTCTGTGAAGATTATAACAGCATATTGTATTTTGTAATCTTTTTAGAGAAAAAATCCATCTCATGCACCATTATCTTTGTCCCATTTGTATTAATTGGCCTTTTCTGATTCATTTCTGTTTCTGCCAGTGTTATTATTGAGGACTAGATTATATTAGCGCTATGAACTTGAATCACTAAGGTTATGTTTCAAGGATAAACTACAACCCCAAGTACACACTTATCTATTTGTGTATGAGTGGTAAGTTATTCCTCAGCCATGTAGATTTTTCTGCACACAGAGTAGTAGTCTGAACATGCTCTGAATACCAGCTGTTTCATTCACCTGTTTCAGTTCCTCATTCTAAGAAAAAGTACATTTATTTAGGTGTATATGTGCATATGTGCATGTCACAAACATATACATGGAAGTCAGAGGGCAACTTTCAGGAGTCAGTTTTCTCTTTCCACCGAGGGGTCCCGGGAGTTGAACTCCAAGGTCAACAGACTTTGGTGGTAAGTGCTCTTACTTGCTGAGCCCTCTCACCGGCTTTCAGTTGCTCATTTTTCATCTTTGCTGCTTTGAAGTGTTTTTTCTTGCTCCATATCTCTTAAAATTTGAATGTTTTTCTAATGTAGATGTGGCACAGTTAAAGATTAATAGGAATTACAGTTAATTCTTTATGTGGAAGGAATGGGATGAAGCAAAGAAAATCATACTCTCTTAATAGGAGCAGTCCCTCTGTGTCAACTAGTGAAGACAGTGACTTTGAAGACCACTCAAGACGCAATGTGAGGAAGAGAGCAGCGAAACGACCACTCAAAGCTGCCCCAGTGAGTTCACTTTATTTTGTTCTTTTATTGATTTTTTTTGAACTCTACAATTTTTCTCTGCTCCCCTCCCTGCCTCTCCCCTTCCCTTCAACCCTCTCCTGAGATCACCCTGCTCTCAATTTACTCAGGAGATCTTGTCTTTCTACTTTTCATGTACATTAGATCTTTGTATGTCTCTCTTAGGGTTCTCATTGTTGTCTAGGTTCTCTGGGATTGTGATTTGTTGGCTGATTTTCTTTGCTTTATGTTTAAAAACCACTTATGAGTGAGTATATGTGATATTTGTCTTTCTGTGTCTGGGTTACCTCATTCAAAATGATGTTTTCTAGCTCCATCCATTTGCCTGTAAAATTCAAGATGCTATTTTTTTCTGCTGTGTAGTACTCCATTGTGTAAATGTACCACATTTTCCTTATCCATTCTTCAATCGAGGGGTATTTAGGTTGTTTCCAGGTTCTGGCTATGACAAACAATGCTGCTATGAACATAGTTGAGCACATGTCCTTGTGGCACAATTGAGCATCCTTTGGATATATACCCACAAGTGGTATTACTGGGTCTTGAGGAAGATTGTTTCCTAATTTTCTGAGAAATTGCCACACTGACATCCAAAGGGGCTGTACCAGCTTGCATTCCCACCAGCAATGCAGGAGTGTTCCCTTTACCCCACAACCTCTCCCCTATAAGTTGTCATCAGTGTTTTTGATCTTGGCTATTCTTAAGGTGTACGATGGAATCTCAGAGTTGTTTTGATTTGCATTTCTCTGATGACTAAGGATGTTGAACACTTCCTTAAGTGTCTTTTAGACATTTTAGATTACTCCTTTGAGAGTTCTCTGTTTAGGTCCTTTTTTTTTAATTGGATATGTGTTCTTTTGATGACCAATTTCTTGAGTTCTTCGTATATTTTGGATATCAGACTTCTGTTTGATGTGGGGGTTAGTGAAGATCTTTTCTTATTCTGTATGCTGTCGTTTTGTCTTTTTGACCCTATCCTTTGCTTTACAGAAGCTTTCAGTTTTAGGAGGTCCCATATATTAATTGTTTCTCTCAGTGTCTGTGCTACTGGGGTTATATTTAGGAAGTATGAGTCCACTTTATTTAACTTAGAATCTAGTCGGAGAATCAGCAAAGAAAATTCTGGAAGGGACTCAGGTGATGTGATGGAAGAAAAGAAAATATTAGGATAGAGAGGTGCCAGAATTCTTTAAATAGAGAAAAGGTTAGTAATAACAAATTTCACAACAATAAAATAATCAGTTACTAAAGATCTGAAACAATAAGGGAAGCATAGCTGTGGAATTGGCAGCTTAAGGCTACTTAAGGTCATAATGATGAAATTAAATGTTAGCATCATTCTTACAGCTTTTGTATGCCTAATATTTCTATACTTACTAGGTGGCAAAACATCGGAAGAAGCGGTCCCAAATAATACCTAGTGGGAATAACAAGAATGAATCAGTGCTTCCAACCAATGATCTCTTTGATGCTGTGAAAGCTGCCAAAAGTGACATGCAGGTAAAGAAGTGACTCACCTCTGCTCCTTTTCCTCTTAATATCAATAAGAAATTTAATTATAATTTAAAAAATGGTGTTGTCTAGAAAAATGCAAATATTTTTATAATTATAAAAGTTCAACTGTTGAAACTTGATTACTGAAATGTGTTGGCTTGCATTAATGATTTACAGTTTGCATTTATATTGAGAATTCACATAAAATGAAAATGGAAACCAAATACCCATACCTGATTTCTGTCCCTTATTTTTCTGCTAGCAATCATATACTTTTTGATCACATAGTAAAAAATATGTAGCATAGAACTATTGATAAGAGGAAGAAGACAGGGAATTGCTTTTTGGGAATGAAATGTTTCCCTTCATAGTGGTTTTGTAGGTGTTTTTCATGTGTAAGTCATGCTGCTGGATATTTTTAGGTATAATTGTTACACATTTAGCATAGATAGCACACAAGTTGGTATCTTCAAAAATGACAACCATATAGGTCTTGATTGCCTTTTTCAAAGCACCAGTGGCTGTACTCTGTTTTGAAATCCTGAGCAACTTTTCACATCAGACACTTGAAGGGGAGTTTTTGCGAATCCGAAATTCAGTGGACTTGTGATTGGGTCAACTTTCATAGGGAGCCTGTAATAATGAGCTTTCTTCACCCTGTCAGTAGAGGTCAGACTCTGGCTAACAGTGTCTAAAACTGGTTAAGGGGTGTTTTACCACTTGTGGAGTTTCAGCTGGTCTGCTTTCTACAGGCCATGCTAATGAGACCTTGTTTACCCTCCTTCAGATTTATTTAGTTCAGTGAGCAAGAGGCTATGCTGGCTTTAGAGAGTGACAACTGCAAACTTCATCTCTGTGCTGTTTGTTTGAGACAGAATTTTTTCATGTATTCCTGGCTGGCCTGGAACTCAGTATGCATGTCAGGCTGGTCTCAATTCAGAGTTCCGCCTGCCTCTGATTCATAACTGCTGGGTTTAAAGGCGTGTGCCACAGTACCAGACTCACCTGTTCCCTAGTACTATCTGATTCTTTGTAGAATGAGACAATAAGGAACAGAATCTACAATTTTAATTTGTTGTTGGCATTTTATTGATCATACCTAAACCAAAAAAGATAAAAGACAGTGGAGTATGAGTCCCTACAGTGATAAGAGAGCCCCCAGAGGAGAATTTTGTTTGTTTGTATTTTGTTTTTTGATACAGGATTTCTCTGCAGTTTTGGAGCCTGTCCTGGCACTTGCTCTTGTAGACCAGGCTGACCTTGAACTCACAGAGATCCACCTGCCTCTGCCTCCCAAGTGCTGGGGTTAAAGGCGTGCGCCACCACTACCCAGCTGCATGTTCCTTTTCTAAGTATCACAGGACAGGAGCAATTCTGCCTTTCTAGAAGACAAAGAGAGTCACTGGGTGATCTAGAAAGAAGCCTAGATATGTCTTCTTAGACAATTGTATTAAATATTTTTCTGTCCTCCCATTTATTCTTTTTATTTTATTTGTTTTTGTTTTTCGAGACAGGGTTTCTCTGTGTAGCCTTGGCTATTCTGGAATTTGCTCTGTAGACCAGGCTGGCCTTGAACTCACAGAGATCGGCCTGCCTCTGCCCCTAGAGTACTGGGATTAAAGACAGGCGTCACCACTGCTCCATGTTTAATTTTTTAATTGATTAATTAATTAATTTATTTTTAAAAGAAAACTTTCATTTTTCATACCAATCCCAATTCCCACTCCCTCCCCTTCTCCCATTCCCTCCACCTAGCCCCTACTCCACCCTCATCCACTCCTGAGAGAGGGTAAGGCACATTGCTTTGGGTAAGGTCCAAGACCCTCTCTACTATATCTTGGCAGAGCAAGGTATCCATCCAAAGAGAATGGGTTTCCAACCCCACATTTATTCTTTATGTTTTTATTACATATCGTTTAAAAGTGAATAAAGCTTGGCAAGTCTGGTGTCACATGCTTTTAATCTTAGTACTTGGGAGGCAGAGGCCGATATATCTCTGAGTTTGAGGTCAACCTGGGCTACACAGTTCCAGACCAGTTAGGAATATATAGTGAGACCCTATCTTAAAAAAAGAAAAGCATGTACAGGAGTTGGAGAGATAGCTCAGAGGTTAAGAGCTTTGACTGCTCTTACAGAGGTCCTGAGTTCATTTCCCAGCAACCATATGGTAACATCTATGAGATTTGGTGGCCTTGTCTGGCCTTCAGGCAGAACATTGTGCACTAAATAAATAAATAAATAAATCCCTTTAAAAAAGTGTATAAAGCCTATATATAGATTAAAAGTTAAAACACTAGGATGGGTATATAGCTCAGATATACAGTACTTGTCTAGCATATATAAGACACTCCTACATTCCACCCCTAATATTAGAAAGAAAAATCACCCAAATTGCTAACCTTCAATTCAAGAAACAGGATGTTAGTAGAGCTGAAGAGGTTCTATCTTTATCCTCTCCACCCTACTCAGTCCTTTAGTTCCCCAGAGATAATGCTAAATTGAGCTTCGTTTTTCTCTTGTTGTTATAGTATTATCTTTTCATCAATTTAAGTGAATCATTCCTGGGTAGTCTGTGATTTAATTAGTTTGGTTAACACTGGTATTTATTCATATTAATGCATAATATAGATTTTTTAAAAAAATCATTTTTTGGGGCATTCTAAGTTTTCTGGCATGGACTTTTACTGGTTCTATTTCTGTTATTTGATCTCAGTTTATAGAAGTATATCCAAAGAATGTGGTCTTTCAAACTTCAGCAGACTTAGCTTTCTGACCTAATATGTAGTAAGATTTTTTTTTAAAAAACTGCTGTCCAGGCAACCTGCAGAGAGTTCATATTCCCCAGTTTGTGTGCTCTTGAATGAGACTGAGAGTGTTAAATATGATATTTTGATGTTTCTGCTGCCCTTACTTTTTATGCTTTGTTCTGTGTCATAATGCATAATACAGAGAAAGGCATATTAAAAATCTGAAGGTCTGGGTGTGGTGGTGCATGCATTATCCCTGCACTCGGGAGGCAGAGACAGGTGAATCTGTGAGTTAGAGGCCAGCCTGGTCTACATATTTAGTTCCAGGACAGCCTGAGCTATACAAAGAGACCCTGTCATGAAAAAAAAACCCCAAAAACTGAAAAAATAAATCTATGAAGGTGACTTTTTCAGCTATTCTTTCATACTTATTTTTATTTATATTTATTTCTTTTATGTTTATATTTATTTGTACTCATATTTGCCTAGAGATTATGAAATATAATATTGTATAGAGATTTAGAATTTAAAATTTTATCTACTTTGTAAATTAAACTTTTTTTTTGGTTTTTCGAGACAATTTCTCTGTAGCTTTGGAGTCTGTCCTGGAACTAGCACTTGTAGACCAGGCTGGCCTCGAACTCACAAAGATCAAACATTTTATAATTAAATTTTGGCACTTCTAAATTGTTTTGTTTGATATTAATAGTGTTAACATTGCTTTTGGTTTTGGTTAATATTGACTTGGTATCTTTTTTTCCCCCCAAACTTTCAGTTTTATTGTATATCTTTAAGATCTTTTCTTTTCATGTCTGGACTATGTTTCTTATTTTGCCAATCTGTACTCCAGAGAAATTTGACCAATTTGTGTTTATTATCATTATTGATATACGTCTACCATTTTGTTTGCTCCAGCTTTATATTATCTTTTCTGTTTTCCCTCCTTTTACATGCTTCATTTTCGATGTCTTCTAAAGGAATTTAGTATATTTAAGTACAACTATCTCCTCCAATATATATATATATATATATATATATATATATATATATATATATATACACACTGTTATATTGTTTCAGTCTGTTTCCCTTTCTCAACAAATCAGGTTTTATTTTATGTAGTATTTTATATATGCTTATATTTTTTCAAGTTTTTATTTGTTGTTTGTTCTTGAATCTCAAATATTCCATATAGAATCATTCTCTTTTATCTCCAGATTACTCTTTAGGAGGATTTTATTAATAAAGCTTTTCATATTTTGCTTGTATAAAAATGTACTTATTAAAGACCTTTTACTAGATACAGAATCTTATAAATTAATTTTTTGAGACAGAGTCTCACTATGTAACCCTAGCTAGACTGGAATTATATGTACTAGACTGGCTTGGAACTTGCAGAACTATACCTGACTCTGCCTCACAAGTGCTGGAGTTAAAGGTGTATGCTACTTTGCTCCAGACACACCTTTTACATGTGTCTCACTCTAGCCCAGGCTGGCTTGTAATTGACTCTATTGCCCATACTGGTCTCAGATAACAGAGAAATTCTCCTGTCTTAGCCTCCTGAGTGCTGAAGTTACAGGCATGTGCTACTACCCTGTCTAGACTACGTATAACATACTGAGATGATATAGTTTTTCTTAGCACTTTAATTCTGTCTTTATTGTTGCTACTGAAAATCAGCTATCATTCATCTAACACTAATCAGTACAGTATTTTAGGTCGGTGGGATGACTTAGTGGGTAAAGCACTTGTCACTTAAGCTTGATAACTGAGTTTAGTTCCCAGAGCCATGTGGATGTGGAAGAAAAGAACCAGTTCCCCAAAGTCTGTCATCTGACTTTCACGTTTGTGATGTGCTCAAACCCATACACAAATCATATGTACAAAATGGTAAATAAAAATTTAAAATACAGTGTTTTGTAAAAGTGCTACACATCAGTTTTCTAGTACAGTATCCACTAGCCATCTGTGATTATTGAGCTTTTGAAGTATAGCTTATACAACTAAGGAATTTGATTTTTAAGTTTTTTTAATTTAATAGTTCTTTATGTTTCATGGCATTGTATTTGCATAGTTCTTACTTGTAAATGTTTTTGTTTGTAAAATGTTGAATGTATAGTCTTTGCAAATGATGCTTTTTTACTATTTTTGAAGATTTTCTTGGTTTTGTGTTCTAATGTCTTATGGGCTGTTTAAAGGTTAAGTCTCTTTTTATTTGTTATGCTAGAGATCCACTAGCTTCTTGAATTTTAGAATTGATGTCATTCAACAAGTATAGAAAATTCTTTTTACATACTTCCCGTTATTCATTTTATTATATTCTAGAATTCAGTTAGATCTTAGAACTTTTCAGTCTTTTTTCTGATCCCTTTAATACTTCTTTGATAATCTGTCAGCCTCTCTGAGTTGCATTTTGGATACTTTCATGGATTCAGCTCACCATCTGTTCTTCTATGTAGCCCATCCAGTGTTATTTTTTTTTAAAGAAAACAATCTTTTTTTTTTCATTTTACATATCCCAGTTCCCATTCACTCCCCTCCTCCCATTCCCTCTACCAGTCTCCCCCCCACCCCCATCCACTCCTCAGAGTGGGTAAGGCCCATTGCTTTGGGGAAGGTCTAAGGCCCTCCCTACTTTAGCTAGGCTGAGTAAATATCCATCCAAAGAGAATAGGTTCCAAAAAAGCCAATACAAGCAGTAGACATACATTCTGGTGCCACTGCTATACAACTGTCACCCACATTCAGAGGGACTAGTTTGTACCTATGCTGTTTCCTACCCTGTATGGCTGGAGTTGGTGAGCTCCCATTAGCTCAGGTAAGCTGTTTCAGTGGGTGTACCCATCATGGTCTAGACTTTTGTTATTTGCAGATGATAGTGTACATAAGTGACCCCAAAACTCTACCAGAGAACTCCTACAGCTGATAAATACCTTCAGTATAGTAGCCCTCCTATATACTAGTGATAAAGAAGCTGAGAAAGAAATCAGAGAAACATCACTATTTACAATAGCCAAAATTAACATAAAATACCTTGGGGTAACACTAACCAAAGAAGTGAAAGACCTGTTCAACAAGAACTTGAAGTCTTTGAAGAAACTGAAGAAGATACCAGAAAATGGAAAGATCTCCCATGTTCTTGGATAGGTAGGATCAACATAATAAAAATGGCAATCCTACCAAAAGCAATCTATAGATTCAATGCAGTCTCCGTCAAAATCCCAACACAATTCTTCACAGACCTTGAAAGAACAATACACAACTTCATATGGAAAAACAAAAAAACCCAGGATAGCCAAAACAATCCTGTACAATAAAGTAATTTCTGGAAGAAGTTTGTGTTTTTGTTATTTTATGTTTATGAGTGCCTACATACTGTGTTTGCACCATGAATGTGTAATGCCCTGAAAATCCAAAAGGAGGCACCAGATCCACTGGAACTGGAGTTACAGGTGGTTGTGAGCCGTTGTGTGGTGCTGGGAACCAAACCTGGGACCTCTGCAAGAACAACAAGTGTTCTTACTGCTGAACCACTTTTCTAGCCATATGCAGTAAACTTATACATTTTATTATATATCTCACCTCTACAAAGTTAACTTATTTTAAAATTTGATTGTATTTTTCTACATTTATATGTATATTTCTTGAATCATATGAAACAACCATTTTATAATTGGTGAAACCTTCAGTCCCATAAGTGAATGCTTGTAATTCTGCTGTCTGTTTTTTTTAAAATCTATTTTTTTATTATGTATACAATATTCTCGGTATTCTGTCTGCAAGTATGCCTGCAGGCCAGAAGAGGGCACCAGATCTCATTCCAGATGATTGTGAGCCACCATGTAGTTGCTAGGAACTGAACTCAGAACCTTCGGAAGGGCAGGCAGTGCTCTTCATCACTGAGCCATCTCTCCAGCCCCTGCTGTCTGTTTTTTTGTAACTATTTCTTTCAATGCTTTCTTTTCTCCTATGTTTTACTAGGTTTTAACTATGATTCACTCATTTTCTTCAAATCCCTGTGTTGGAACCCTTTGGGTCAGGATCAAAGATGTGTTTTTAAGAGAGGAACCTGAATTTGTTTCTAACATGGGAACACTTCTGAATACTTTGCTGTTGTTGTGTTGAGACAGAGTATCATGTAGCTCAGACTTGACTTCAAACTCACCATGAAGCTGGGGATGACTTTGAACTTCTGATCTGCCTGCCTCCACCTCCCAAATACTGCAGTTAGAGATGTTCACCACCATACCCAGCCAAGAATCACTTTTAATTTAGTTCTCTACCTGAGATTATTCTGGTCATATAGGTAGTAAGAATCTGGGCTGTAAATTCAGTCCTAAGGACTATGTATGGTTATAATGTTTTGTAGAGATTCAGTTTTTCTCTCCAACTACCCTATAGAGTACATTCTCTTGCTGTTTCCAACTGCCCTGTAAATTCATTTCCCATTCTTTATTTTCATAAAAATATAGCTCTGTAGGACTCAACCTTTTATGGGAGCCTTTTCTTGGACCACTTTTGGAATGATTCTTTGGCTCTATTTCCTATGCTATGCATTCTAAATATTTATCTTGTTTAGTGAAACCCTTCCATCAAAAGTCAGCTTCCTACTTCCAGAATTGCTGCTTTCTCATTTTTGACCTATGTGGGGTTCTACTTTTCATTCTAGTTTAGCCATACATTTGAAAATATGTTTGTAATTTTAATAAGATATTTGCATATTTCAGTTGGATGAAATAGGACAATCTGTTGGAATTGAAATCATCTACACTTTTCTCCTAGTCTTTGGTGGATGAATGGCTAGAAAACTACAAGCAAGATGAAAATGCAGGATTCTTGGAGCTCGTTAATTTTTTCATCCGATCCTGTGGATGTAAAAGTGAGGAAACTTCCCTGTCTCTTCCTGATCCTTATCCTTTATGTTTAAAACTTTTCTTCTGTTTATGAGTACAGTTGAAATTATTTAAGTAAAGAAGGTAAGATGAGAGCTGCATTATTTAACTATAGTTTTAGTGTGTAAGTATTAGAAGTAATTTAATAGGAAACTATGTTGATTTTTGAGACACAACCCTTTGGTGGAAAAGAATCTTGCTTCAGCCATGATAGTGATAGGCACAGATTTGAAACTGGACTGTCATGCCAATGGAGGCTTTTTTGTTTTGTGTTTTTGAGCTAGGGTTTCATTGTGTATCCCAGACTGGTCTTGATCCTGAAGCAATTTTCCTGCCTCTCTCAATCTTCTGAGTATTGTAATTATGGGCATGTACGTGGCATCCAGTGCATTTAGTCTTTGTGTATGAGTCAACCTATTACTTGTTTCTATTTATCAACCATCTCACCTATTTTCCTCAGCCTCCAGAGTGCTGAGTTTGCAGGTGTGCATAAAACACCTAGTGCCTTTTAGTCTTTGTAGATGAGATAGTTTATTATTCTTATTTCTCAGCCACCATGTTTTCTATCTGATGCTGTAGAGCCCCCCAAACTTCATATGCCAAGGTTTAGTTTATTGGGCCAAGGAGTATCAACTTGTTTTAAAAGATTTTATCATCTGGCCTAGTCTTGTTTTTTTTTTCTGTTTGATTGGGGGATATTTTTTGAACCATAGTTTTTCACTTGCATAGTTCTTCACTTGCATAGTTTATTTGCATTTTTCAGAGGTTATTTCAAAGCACGTGTACAAATGAATGGTGACAGGCTCATGACTAGGAAGGATTCAAGTTGTCTGATTGCTCCCTAAGCTCTTCTCAATATTTACTCTAGTTCATCCTCAAATGTATCTGTGTCTTACTATTTTCTTTTTATGTCTCTTGTCTCAATTTCCAGGTACTGTAACTCCTGAGATGTTCAGGATGATGTCCAACTCAGAGATCATCCAGCACCTAACAGAACAGTTTAATGAGGTGAAAGAAGCTGATTGAAATCATCTTGTTCCTCTTATTCTGATTTCAAAACACAAGACTTATTGCCCCTTTATTTCTGATTCTAGGAAATAACTTTTATAAGGAAGAGTTAAATCTATTTTAAAAAAAAATAAAAGGAACTTACAGAAATTAGCTGGCATGTCTCTGGGATTGAGTGATAACGTAAAGTGAAGTATATAGAGTTACATTTTAATGTACTGTTGGGTTTTGATGTTCAAATCCCTGAACTTTCTTGGACCTAGTAATTTTCCTATTCTTTCCATAAACTCTTTTTGTAGGACTCAGGGGACTATCCCCTGACAGCTCCAGGCCCATCCTGGAAGAAGTTCCAGGGAAGCTTCTGTGAGTTTGTGAAGACATTGGTCTATCAGTGCCAGTACGGCCTCCTCTATGATGGCTTTCCTATGGATGATCTTATTTCCCTGCTCATTGGCCTCTCAGATTCCCAGGTCCGCGCCTTCCGTCATACTAGTACCCTGGCTGGTGAGCACTTGCACAACTCAGTGGGCTTTCCTGCGATTAATGAGGTGGAGAATGCTTTTTTTTTTATTCTGAGTTTTCTTTTTCACCTGCATCAATGCTATCCAGAACTTGTTGCTTTTATCCTACAGCTCCTTCTTGCTTTCCACTAGTAGACATAGGAAAGGGGCAGACCACCATAATGACTCCCAGTTTTCATATCTTCTCAGAGCATACCCCTGGCAATAGATTGGTGCATAAAAGAAGGTCAGAAAAGTTGGAGGGGAGGGCCACTCCAGGATAGGAAACCTTAGGACTTGACGGTCACCCTGCTCTTTATTTTCTTTATTCTTTCCCCTTTTGCTTTTGCGCTCATGCTCTGTCCTCTGGCTTGAACAATGACTTCCTTGTTTCCTCTTACTCAAAGCCATGAAGCTAATGACTTCTCTAGTAAGAGTTGCACTCCGATTGAGTCTGCACAAAGAGAACAATCAGCGTCAGTATGAGGCTGAACGAAACAAGGATCCAGAGCAGAGAGCACTGGAGCGACTGGAGAGTCTGCTGGAGAAACAAAAAGAGGTGAGGAAGGTTCCTGGCCCCACCCCACCCCCTCTTCCAGCTTTTATTTTCTACAGCTGAGACCTTATCAGGCTCCATCACTTATCTCAGTAAACATAGGCCTCTAGCAGCCTTTCAGATAAAGAATAGGAACTGGCAACAGTTTTCCTCTAATACATCCCATCAAAAGTCATTGTGGGTTCCTCCTGTTTCTGGGACGCAGGCTCACAGGTGTTTAATTTGAAGAAACATTTACATTGGCATGCCAAGTAAAAGCTTAAATTTCATGTTAAATGTGCAGTGCAGGTTATCATAGGGGTGCTGAGAAACAACAAATGACATGAGAGGCCAAATTATTGGGATATGAAAAGAGCACATACCTTCCAACCACCCCTGGAAATAAATTTTGTTCTGATAGTTGTTGCTTATATAACTTCTAAAACTTTCTTTTCTTTAAAAAGAATAATCCTACTGGGAGGATTATTCCTAACTAAACTAAAAGTTTATTATTATTCCTAACTAAACTAAAAGTTTCCTTTTCTTTAAAAAGAATTATCCTACTGGGAGGAATTGGGAGAAAGGAAAGAATATGACCAAAATGTATTGTATGAAAAGTATTAAAAAAATTAAAAATAATTACAAGGGTAATTCTACCTTCTAATCAATTTAAATCAGATAATCATCTAACTGGCTACCCAGCCATACAGTAAGTTTTGTTTTGTTTTCCTTGTGGTAGACTTTTCATCACTCTGACAGATACCCGAGAGAAACAGTTCAAAGAGGAAAGGTTTTATCCTGGCTCAGAGTTTGAGAGGTTTCAGTCATTGTTCAGGTGGTTCCATGACTTTGTGCCTGCGGTGAGGCTGACTATTAGAGCCTAGAGGTTATGATGGGGCTGGACCACTCACCTCATATTAGAAGCAGAGAGGGGAGGGAAGGGTCTGGGGATAAGCTCTTTCCTTCAAAGACATGACCCCAGTGACCTACACCATCCAACTAAGTCCTGCCTCCTCATAAGTCCATTTAGCTATGGACTCATCTGTGGGTTAATCCATTGATGAAGTTAGAATTCTTAGGATCCAGTCACCTCTTAAAAGTCTATCAGCAGGCAGCCAAGCTTTTATATATATGAATCTTTTGAGGAGACATTTTTAAACTATAATACTTTGGGCAGACATAAGCCCTGGGAAAATCTTTTAGACTGATTAAATTTCAAGTAGCAGTGTTTTAATCAAGCACTGCTGCTATACCTGTCTTCTACTCCTTGCTAGTATCTGACTCTTTTCCACCTTGAGGTTGGTAGGACATATCATGTCTGACTGTATCTATTGATGATTTTCCCAATCCTCATAAAAAAACAATTGCTTCTCTGCTATGCTAAAAGAGAAGGAAATAATTATTACTGTGTCTATCTCTCTTCCTTGTTTTCTTTTTCTGTGGCACTGAGAATTGAATCCAAGGCCTTATATCTTCCAGGTAGGCACTGCCACTGAGCCGTATCAGCCTGAGAAGCAAACTTTATGTAACTTTATTCTCATTTGCTGTTTTTCATTGTCAGGATGATGTTAAAGGCCTACTACATATACTAGTAGATCTGTCTAGGATTTAAAATTATGTTGATAGACCCACGTTAGATTTGCAGACCCATACATTATATGAGCTTTTCTGTGGTTTCAGTTTCCCACAATCAACAAAGGTTCAAAAATCTCCAAAGTAGTTGGCCATGGTGGCACATAACTTTAATCCTAACACTCAGGAGGCAGAGGCAAGGAGGAGCTCACTGAGCTTCAGGTCAGCCAGGCTGAATAATTGAGGCCTTGTCTCAAAAGCAAAAAGAATCCCAAAGTGTACAATATTACTATTTTGAGAGAAAAGGGGGGAAGAAATGAGAGAAAGAGAGACACCAAAGCTCACATAACATTATTCCAACATTATTTTTGTTACTCTGTAATTTACGAGTGGTTTCTCATAGGTGTACATACACACACATAAATACATAATACAGTTTGAACATCCTTAGTCTAAACATTTCTAAACATAATCTAAACATGAATTCTGAAATGCTCCACAAAGCTTTTTAAGCATCAATATGACATTCAGGAATTTTTTTCATTTTGGAGTTTATTTCAGATTTGGATTTGGAAATTGTGTGTCCAGTGAGTAAAGTAAGTATTCCAAAATCTAAAAACTGTAAAAGCTAGAACACTGCTGGTCCCAAGAATTTTATAGAAAGATGTTTTCAACCTATGTGGATGGTATTTGATACTTTCTGTAGTTTAAGCATTGCTTGAGAGTCTTGGTATGTATTCTCTATGAGAAGGAGAGCTGCACAAGTGTGAATCTTTTATTTTCTGGACTATTCATCAGTTGTCATTCTCCCACTTTAGTCTCCTTACCATATTGTTTTCTTCTGTCCATTTGTGAATGTGTATCAACTCTATAGTCCACTTCTCTGTAATATACTTTCATTTTTCTTTACAGTATTTCCTTACTTTCCTGATTTTTTACTGATTGGGACAGTATTTTAGCTCCATTTTGTCAAAGCTTCTCCCCAAACAAGTGTATCTTGTCAACAGTGATCTTTTCTCAATTTCTGTTTTACAGACTTCTGTAAAATTTGGTACTGATGATCTTTTAAATGTGAAAAACTTAAGGCATTATAGAACACAAATGTAATGAATACCATATGCGTAGTGTATTCTATAAACAGTATTTCATTATATTAGCTTAACTGTTTTGATAGCTTATAGTAAGTTATGGACATAATAGTTCTTTGGCCCTAAAGGTTGAAGTATACCCTCTTAAATGAAACATGTTTTTGTTACCCAGTACCATTTTTTTCTCATACGTTCTAATTAATCCAGACTTAAAATACCCCATCCAGGATTTAAGTAAGGATATTTGATGGTGGTGTTTCTGGAGCCTATTTTAATATTCTCTTCCTTTGTGATAGGCTACGTAAACATGTAATCTAGGCTGGCCTCAAACTCCTCTTCAGGTTTCTTAATACTAGGATTAGAGGTATGCACTAATACCTGGCTTCCTTTTTTAATTGTTTCACAGAATGTCTGCTTCCTCAGATTTCCCCTAATATATCAGTGTAGTGAAGAAATGGGATTAGTTGTTTCAGAGATGTTTTCTCCTTTTATCTTGTTCATCTAGTCCAGGGTTTCTCAGCAGTGGTGGCATTATTGACACTGGGAGACTGTCCTGGCCTTGTATGTTGTTTAGCACTGTTTCCTTCCCTCTGTCTACCAGAATCCAGTAGTACTTTGATACCCAACCCAGTCATGACAACCAAAACTTTTAAAAATATATATTAATTTAAAAATACCCTTGTTTTTTGAGACTTTTGTACAGTGCATTCTGATCATATTTACCTCTCCCCAATTCCTCCACCCAACTCCTCTATACATCCAACTTTGTGTCCTAATTTTTTTCATTCATTAAGTCCAGTTTATGTGTGTCTGTATCTATATGATATGAGTACAAAGGTGTCCAAAAGAGGATGTAGGATCCTTTGGATCTGGAATTACAGGTAATTTTGAGCAATCTGATATGGGTGCTGGGAACCTGAACTTGGGTACTCTGGAAAAGTAGTATGTATGTATTTTTGTTGTTGTTGTTTTTGCAGTATGTATTCTTAACCGTTGAATCATCTCTCCAGTCCCCAGGGCATTATTATTATTATTATTATTATTATTATCAAACACAGAGCAACTTTTGAGGCATTAACTTCACTGCTTCTTCTGTAACTAGGAGGGAATATAGAATACCTGATGGTTCATACTCTGTCCTTCAATAATAGGAACTGGGTAGATGTTGGATTTTCTATAACTGTGATGTTATATTGTTGAGGTACAAGAGGGATAGACTGACCTTATTCCTTCCTCTAGTTCCAAGAGAATCAAGAAGAGATAGAGGAGATGATGAATGCTATCTTCAGAGGTATTTTTGTCCATCGGTACAGGTGAGTCAGTTACAGGCTCTTACTGAAACTGCTGTCCTTGGTGGTAGCATGGGGGAATGACAAGGCCCTTTCCAGTGCTGAGTTATTTAGTTAGTTGCAGAATATTGCAGCTGGAGTGAAAACTGACAGATATGATGAATTAGCTAAGATCTGGTTTATCCCTATCTGCAAAGGATTTTGTGAGTTCTGGTAAGGAAAGTCAGAAATCAAGATAATCATTGAGTATTTTCCTCCTCTTGACCTTGCCCAAGTCCTGGCCCTACCTCTGTCTTTCTTTGAGCATACAGGGCGGAGACCTGAAAGGTGCCTATACTGAGGCATGTCTGGCTCAGCAAGCCTTTTCCTAGCCTAGCCTGTGATTTCACTGTGCTAAGGGTAGGGGAGATTCACAGTGTTTGAAGAACTATAGTATTAAATTTTACCTTTTTTAGAATTAGAGTATTTGTAGTAGTGTCTCACGTTTGTTTAAATTTCAACTTCTGATTCTCCAGAACTTTAATCATTTCTTGAAAAGAAATTGAAAAACAGCACATTTTGGTCAACACTTAAGTGAACTTTCAGAATTGGCTTTTAAAGGAGTATAGAGATGTAGTTGTACAAGGTTAAACTATCTCATATGCTTTCTATGGAAAGAATCATTTAATTTCACATATTTCATGTGTTTACGTTGGAAATGAAAGGCCTAGTACCTGTGTTTTGTCACAAGCATAACTTCTTTGAGAGTGTTATTGTGGTAAGCCAAAAGGTAACTTTTGAGAGAATATGTCAGTTTGTCTCTTTGTCTAGGGATGTCCTTCCTGAGATCCGTGCTATCTGCATCGAGGAGATTGGGTGTTGGATGCAAAGCTACAGCACCTCCTTTCTTAATGACAGCTACCTAAAATACATTGGCTGGACCCTGCATGATAAGGTCAGGTTAAGTCAGCCTCCTTCCTGTTAACTCGCTTCTTCTCACCTGTCCTGAGATATTTCACTTTTTCTTAGTCTGCCATTCAAACATTTCACCTAGTGAGATCATTTCACAGTGATCTCTCAATCAAGGCACTGAACCTTGAGATTACTGCAGTGCTGAAGAGGGTAGGATAAAGCAGAAAGGAGAAAAGCATTCATGAGTCAGAATACCTTTGAAACCTTATGTGTCATGGAGGAAGAAAGTATTCCCTATGAAATAGCAGATTGGTTATGGTAGCACAAATGCCCGAGTGCCAGTCAAGGGGATTCTTTTCATTGTGGTGGTCTAGTGCTTCTATGAGCCTTTTCTGTTTTCAGTGAGATGTCAACTCTTTAGTGTTTTTTATATCCAAGAGTCCTCAGTGTAGAGATCACTCATGCCCAGAATGAAGAATAGTGAAGGGGCACATGGAGGCTCTGTAGGGATCCTTGGTCAGTCATGTTTCCCTTTTCCTGTCTCCTTCCTCAACAGCACAAGGAAGTCCGCCTAAAGTGTGTGAAGGCCCTGGAAGGGCTGTACAGCAATCAGGAGCTGAGCACACGCATGGAGCTCTTTACCAACCGTTTCAAGGTAAGACGGGGACAACATTCCCAGGTTTGGCTCTGTGATGTGGTTCCCATTTCCTCACCCCAGGTCTTTCACCAGTTTCTCTGGCAAGCTGATAGCTATTCTGGATAAAGCTCCTGCTCCCTTTGTGTTAGGAGTTTCAAATAGAGATTGTGATGTTTTGGAATGGGTGAGAGAGATTGGATAATGTTCTTTGCACAGGACCGGATGGTTTCCATGGTCATGGACAAAGAGTGTGAAGTGGCAGTGGAGGCCATCAGGTTGCTGACCCTTATCCTGAAGTGAGTTGTGGGAAGTGGGGAGGCAGCCTCACATACTTGCCTTTGTAGCCTCAAACAAACCCCACCAGACATCTGTCCCTGACCTGTCACAATCAACCTTCCTTGTTTGCAGAGTGGAAGACAGGACTTTCTGAGTTGTAGAATGGAAGGGTACTTTTCCCTATCTTTAATTCTTCTTCTCTTCACTTAAACATTTTCTATGAGTCATGTCCTTGTAGATATTGCCTTGTTTTGTTCTACCCTTGGCTGTATGAGAACTTTCTCACACACACTGTTTCTCCTTTTCTCTTGAAGGAACATGGAGGGAGTACTGACCAATGCAGACTGTGAGAAAATCTACTCCATTGTGTACATTTCTAATCGTGCTATGGCCTCTTCTGCAGGGGAGTTTGTGTACTGGAAGTGAGTGGTGTGTGTTTGTCATACTATCCTCTGCCTGCCTGCCTACCCCCTCACCCCTCTCTGCTTCACCTAGGGACTTAATCAAAATTATTGAAGTCTCTCTTGTCCCTTTCCTCTTTTAGACCTATAGAATTTCCTGTCTCTCCACTTGTCCATTTGTCCTCACTTCCTCCCATGGTACATTCTTTCCATATCTATTCTACCAGGATCTTCTATCCTGAGTGTGAGGCAAAAGCAGTGGGTGGCAGGGAGCGACGCCGGAGTTCACAAGCCCAGAGGACTTTCATCCACCTTCTACTGGCCTTCTTTATGGAGAGTGAGGTAATGTAGGAAGGGAATGTTATGCCTAAGACCTAAAAGTAGAGGACAAGATAGGCAGTGGGTAGGAGGGTCCTGCTTACTAATAGCCACTTGATGGAGTAATTTGATGTGGTGTCGGTGGATAACTTACTAGGAACTTTCTTTCACAGCATCACAACCATGCTGCTTACTTGGTAGATAGCTTATGGGACTGTGCACAGTCTTATCTGAAGGACTGGGAGAGTCTGACCAGCCTGCTACTGCGGAAGGACCAGAGTGCGTGCCACATGGTAGCTGGGGGTTGGGTATCTTGAATCTTCTAGTGTGAAACTGAGAGGTTTGGGGTTTTGTTTTGTTTTATTTTTGCCTGACTTGGAAAAAGCAACAGAAGTGTCCTGGGGAGGGAATATGGAGATGGAGAATGGCTAATCTGTGGTTTTTGATCCTCTTTCTATCAGATCTGGGTGATATGCAAGAGAGAATGCTGATAGAAATCCTTGTGTCCAGTGCCCGGCAAGCTGCGGAGGGTCACCCACCAGTGGGGCGCATCACAGGGAAGAAGGTAGGCATGAGTGGTGGGTTGTAGCTGGTCAGTAATATTGGAGCCAGATGGCAATTGATCCTCTTTACCTCTACTTTCTGGGTTAGGGCGCAGGCCCTCCTTTCCCTCTAAGAATCCCATCTCCAGATTTAAAAAAAAAAAAACATCTGAAGGGATATGCTGAGTTTTTCCTCCTCAGATGGAAAGTTTATGGAGCAGAAGTGTGTACAGATACACTTACCCTCTGTACCCAGTGTTTCTTCACAATTTTCCACTTCAAATTACTAACATCAGGGTTTGACTGCCAAAGAACGCAAACTTCAAGCTTATGACAAGGTGAAGCTGGCTGAGCACCTCATCCCCCTCTTACCTCAGCTCCTGGCCAAGGTAAGAGAGCCTCTCATACAGTTTGGGGTATAAGTGGGTGAGGGACCAACTCCAAGATAGTATGGGGGAAGGATTTGCCCCTTGTTCCTTAATTAACTGGACACACTTTCTATTACAGTTCTCAGCAGATGCAGAGAATGTTGCTCCCCTGCTCCGACTGCTTAGTTACTTTGACCTCAGCATTTATTGCACTCAGCGCTTGGAGAAGGTGAGGAGACAGTTCATTTTCTAGACCTTTCTACTTCCCTGCTTAAGTTAAGGGTTCTTCCAGTGGTTGGTTGGTTTGTTTATGTAAGGCCCTGGGTTCAGGAAGAATCTATCGGCCCACATATATACATACATACATACACACACACACACACACACACACACACACACACACACATCTTATCCCTAAACATCACTCCTTTCATCCTCCTGTGTCACTCTTCAGCCTATACTCCACCGTATCTTGTCTCCCTTTTAGCACTTGGAGCTGCTTCTGCAACAACTCCAGGAGGTGGTGGTGAAGCATGTGGAGCCTGAGGTGCTTGAGGCTGCAGCACGTGGCCTCTATCTGCTCTGTAAGCCAGAGTTTACCTTCTTTAGCAGAGTGGACTTTGCCCGAAGCCAGCTAGTGGATCTTCTTACGGATAGATTCCAGCAGGAGCTTGATGATCTAATGCAGGTGGTGCTAAACAGCAGGGCATCCCAGGGAGGGTAAGAGAGGGCCAGAATTAATGATGAGGTTTTGAGAAACTTTGCTGTGAGCTTTTTTGTTCCTCAGTCATCCTTCCTAGATGAGGATGAGGTGTACAGTCTGACAGCCACTCTGAAGCGTCTCTCTGCCTTTTACAAGTGAGCATCTCTCCTGCCCCCTTCCCTTTCTTCTAGTGTTGATTGCCTTGGATGTGTCCCAATATAACATTCCCTTCTGTCTCCTTATAGTGCTCATGACCTGACTCGCTGGGAGATCTCTGAACCATGTTATCAACTCCTCCAGAAAGCTGTGGACACTGGAGAAGTTCCTCACCAGGCAGGTGATGGGCTAGACACACAGAGGCAGGGCAGATGACTCCCAGAACCTGTGTTCTGGAGGCCACTTTGCCTAGGTGGTCACAGTCCTGGGGTGTGCAGTGCTCTAGGGAGGAAGGTAGGGTAGGTTATCATTTCTGTTCTTCTTTGAGGTGGACTGGGGGCTTCAGTGCCTGGAAATGGCTTTTCTCTTGGGATTCCTGGGGGCCAAGGTAAATATTGAGGAATTCTAGGAGACTGAATAAACCAGAAGGATGTGACATTTCTGCCTAGGCTAGAAGCCTCTGGACATTGTCCAAAATAATCCCTCTACCATCAGAAAGGAATTCTGTTTCCTTGGTCTGTCTTTTCTTTTTGAGATGGGGTTTGTTACTGTTTTGTTTCTTTGAGACAGGGTATCTCTGGTAGCCTTGTTTGTTGTAGAATTTGCTTTGTTGACCAGGGTGGCCTCAGACTCACGGAGATCCTCCTGTCTCTGCCTTCTGAGTGTTAGGATTAAAGGTGTGTGCCACCTCACTCCAGCTTCTCTTCTTTGTGTTGTTGGCACTCCCTCACTCTTGCTCTCTGGCCACCTGATCTAACATTTCATGTTACAGGTGGTTTTGCCGGCCTTGAGTCTTGTATATTTTTCCATTCTATGGACGGTAACCCACATTTCAGAATCTACTTCCCAAGTGAGTGTGGGTTTGAGGAGGAGAGTGGGAATGGAGGAGCCTGAACCTTCATTCCTCTGTGAAGCAAGCTGCTCTTTTTACAGAAGCAGCTGATGAGTTTGAAGAAAAGAATGGTAGCCTTCTGTGAACTTTGCCAGAGCTGCCTCTCAGATGTAGATCCAGAGATTCAGGAGCAGGTGAGCATGTGTGTCCTGTAGTTTGAGGAGACTGTTCTCCACAGAAATGAGCTGTGCAATTATAATCTTTGTAAATATTCTGATTTTTGTAATCATCCTTTCTTTTTTTCCCTTCCCAACAGGCTTTTGTCTTACTGAGTGATTTGCTTCTCATCTTCAGCCCTCAGATGATTACAGGGGGACGGGATTTCCTTCGGCCCCTTGTCTTTTTTCCGGAAGCTACTCTCCAGTCGGAACTAGCCAGTTTCCTCATGGATCACGTCTTTCTCCAGCCTGGAGAACTGGGCAGTGGTACAAGAACTCTAGGCCCAGAGCTCAGGAAGGGTTTGGGGCTGAGCCTGGCGACAGTATCTTGGGTGGAAGGCCTAAACCTGTGGCTGGTTCTATTTTTGCTGCACAGGTCAGTCCCAAGAGGATCATGTCCAGATAGAGCTCCTGCACCAGCGGCGCCGCTTGCTTGCCGGGTTTTGCAAACTGCTGCTCTATGGGGTACTAGAGCTAGACGCAGCCTCAGACGTTTTCAAACACTATAGCAAGGTAATCAGATCCCTGACATGAAAGAGAGGGAACAAGTTGAACACTGCAGCATCTAAGGAAGGAAATCAGTCAGCGGTTGAGGACAGTCCAAGAGTATCAGGCTTAAAAGAGAAGTAGGAGAGAACAGCAGTAGGAGTTCAGGATAAAGGACAAAGAAAAGAGATATGGGGGTGAATACTTACATAGAAAAGGCTATTGACTGGGAAATAACTTATTTTTTTCCAATTAAGAAATATGTTTTCCCTGCTTTAAACCTAACCTACAGGATGGGTATTAGAGAAAGAAAACTGGGGAAAGTCAAATCTCACAAGATAACCTATATGAGTAACTAGCTCCATTTCCTCAGCCTGCCATTGTATTCCTCTCTGTCTACTGAGCATCAGACATGCCAGGTGCTAAGGGCAAAGCAATGAGCAGCACAGAAGCTCTTGTTCCTCAGAACTCCAGACTGGTGGGAGGGATGTGTGGGGAACTGGTGTTGTCCCAGGGTGGGTACTGGTGCTCCACTCCTTTTCTCCAATCGTTGGGTTCAATCAGTTTCTGCCCTTAATTTTTTCCCCCATTAAGTTTCGTTCCTTTTGGACACCGCACTATTAGAGATGAGGTTTCGTCTCTGAGTTATTTATACTCATACTACTGTTTTCCTCCTTATGACTCTTTGGGAAGCAATTGTGATTAGGGATGTGAATGAAGAAACCAAAGAGATTTTTCCTGTAGTTAATGTTACCTTCTTTACCTCCTCTCCCTTAGTTTTATGAAGACTACGGTGACATTATCAAGGAAACATTAACTCGAGCAAGACAAATTGACCGATGTCAGTGCTCTCGGATCCTGCTTCTGAGCCTAAAGCAGGTGATCTTTTCTGGACACTTCACAAATGTGGCATGCTCTTCCTAGATTCCCACCTCATTGTCCAGCCCCAGCATCTTAGGGATAATCCTGCAAGATCTTTAAGGACAGAAACTTTCTTTACTCATTTCTTGTGACAAGTTTCTTCACATGTCATAGACCCTGTTTTACTCATTGTTTTATTGCTGTGAAGAGAAACCATGACCAAGGCAACTCTTATAAAGTATTTTTAATTGGGGGCCTTGCTTGCAGTTTAAGAGGTTTTAGTCCTTTATCATCTTGGCAGGGAGCATGGTGGCATGCAGGCAGTCACTGGAGCAGTAGCTAAAAGCTACATTCTGATTCTTAGGGCAGAAAGAGAGTAACACTGGGCTTGACTTGGCCTTTGAAACCTTAGAACCCACCCCAGTGACATACTTTCTCCAGCAAGACCACACCTATGAATCCTTTTAATCAGTCTAATCCTCTAGCAAGGCCACACCACCTATTTTTTTCTAACCCTGGTGACTAAGCATTCAAATATATGAGCCCATGGGGGCTGTTATTTAAATCACCACAAACCCTAATCTAACTCACCAGGCAATTTCCTCCTTCCCAAAGTTCCATAGAAATCAGTTATTAACACCAATTCTAAAGTGATAGAGAATTTTTTTTTAAAAAAAATTGTTTATTTTTATGTAAGTATGTGTTCTACCTGTGTGATTGTCTGAACATCGTGTTCCTATGGAGCTAGAAGAGGGAGTCAGATGCCCTGGAACTGGAATTATAGATGGTTGCAAGCCACCATGTGGGTGCTAAGAATTGAATTCAGGTGCTCTGAAGAGCAGCAAATGCTCTCAACCACTGAGCCAGCTCTCCAGCCTCTAGGGAATTCTTGATTACTTTTTAGTCTGTTTTCTTACAGCCTCTTTTACTTATGACAGACATTTAATTTTTAAAACTTTATTTTATGTGCGTTGCTGTGGTGGGAGGGAAGCAGTTTTAAGTGTGGAGATCAGAGGAAAATGTGGAAATTGGTTTTCTCCTTCTACCATGTAGATTCTGGGGATTGAATTCAGGTTGTCAGCCTTGGTAGCAAGCACCTTTACCTGCTGAGCCATGACATTTTTATTCATCACCGCAGAGGTAGAATGCTGAGGGTGGTGCTCAGTGGTAAAGTACTTACTCGTCAAGTGTAAGGCTGAGTTTGCATTTTAAAAACCCTCACCACAGAGCAGAGCTGATTTGCTCTGCTGTAGGGGATCAGGGTGTGGATGTAACTAGGGAGGAAAGTTAGTAGGTGGTACCCCACACCCCAAGCTTTGTGGAGTCTTGAGTAGAGAAGAGAGTTATGCTTTTCTAGAACTCCTTGTCACCTTTTCCAAATGTGCCTTGTCTCCTGAACACAGCTGTACACAGAACTGATGCAGGAGCAGGGGCCCCAGGGCCTGACGGAACTGCCTGCCTTCATCGAGATGAGGGACCTGGCCCGAAGATTTGCCTTGAGCTTTGGACCCCAGCAGCTTTACAACCGAGACCTTGTGGTCATGCTGCATAAGTGAGGAAGTGCTGGTTGGAGGTTGGGCACTGGCAGGGCAGGTGATCAGGTCTTGGTGGGGAGAGTAACCATGTGCAGAAGCAGCAGGTAGGCTGGTGGTGAGTGTGGTCTGGGCAGCAAGGGTGTGGTGATGGTATACTTGGTTAGGATGTTTCAGACTCCAGATGAAATAATTCTACCCAATCAAGGGAAGGCATCAAGTTCTCATTGTCTGAGCTTCCTCCTGCTGACTCTTCTCGTGAGCCGCCAAATCTTGCATTCCTGGAGCTCCTTTCAGAGTTCTCCCCCCGCCTCTTCCACCAGGACAAGCAGTTACTGTAAGTTAGTGGTTGAGTAGAGATGTGGATTTACAGAAGAGTCTGTGCAGGGCTCAGTTCATTTATTCTCTGTACCATCCCTTCTTAGACTATCCTACCTGGAAAAGTGTCTTCAGCATGTCTCCAAGGCACGTAGCCATTCCTGGGGTCCAGTTACCACTTACTACCACTCCCTCAACCCTGTAGAGAACACAGCAGAGGCCAGCCCTCAGGGACCCTCCCACTCAAAGAAGAAGCGTGTTGAAGGTAAGAGTCAGGGTTGAGTAGGTACACATCAGTGTGTTCTGCACTACATCCTACTTGCCTTTGCCTGAATAACAAGAGGTAGGTTTTAGTCTCCTTCAAACTTAGACTTTGTTGAAGATTTCATCAGGCACCAACTGTCATTCATTTTCTTCATCATTTATATAGCCAACTTAAAATAGCAAACTTAGAAAAATGACATAGAAACTATTGATAAGCCAAAGATTGAACCAAGCAGTCTTTTTAGGATGTACTTTCTTGACAGCAAACAATATACTGATTTCTCAAGTAACTTTCAGATCACCACTTGTCTTAACATTTACCTAATGTCTTTAATTTGCTTTTTTTAGATTGTGTTAAGTAATATTCTAATCAATTTGATATGCTAATGTGCATTTGCTGATATGCACTTCAAAATGTAAGTTTAAAACTGTTATTGGTTTTAATGAAATGTAATTTACATACTATAAAAGTCAAGGCCATCTTTTTAAAGTGTGCACTTTGGTGACTTTTATGCTACCTCAATTTTTTTTTTAATTAATTAATTAATTTATTTATTTATTATGTATCCAATATTCTGTCTGTGTGTCTGCCTGTAGGCCAGAAGAGGGCATCAGATCTCATTTCAGATGGTTGTGAGCCACCATGTAGTTGCTGGGAATTGAACTCAGGACCTTTGGAAGAACAGGCAATGCTCTTAACCTCTGAGCCATCTCTCCAGCCCTGTTACCTCAAGTTTTAAGTGTGTGTGTCTGTGTGTGTGTGTGAATGTGCATGTGAGCATGAGCACAGGTAAACTGAACTTGGATCTTTTTTTTTTTTTTCCTGAGACAGGGTTTCTCTGTGTCGGCCTAGCTGTCCTAGAATTCACTTTGTAGACCAGGCTGGTCTCAAACTCACAGAGATTACCTATCTCTACCTCATGAGCAGTGGAATTTAAAATTATGTTGTCTTTTTATTGTTGAGTTGTTGAGGGTTCTTTACATATTCTAGATAGATCTTTATTAGGTAAAGAGATACAAGAATGCTCTCAAATTCTGTGGGTTACCTTTTTATGCTGTTAATATTCCTTTATTTTTTTGTTGGTATCCTTTTTATTTTATTTTATTTTGAGAAGGGTTTCTCCATGTAGCCCTGGCTGTCCTGGAACTCTTTGTAGACCAGGCTGGCCTCTAACTCACAGAGATCTACCGGCTTCTGCCTCTTGAGTGCTGGGATTGAAGGCATACCCAGCATTGTAGAAATTCTTAATTAGAATGAATTCTACCTTACCTATATTTTTAAATTTTTATTTTTTTAAAAAAACAATCTTTTCTCACTTTACATACCAATTCCAGTCCCTTCTCCTTCTCCTCCTCCCATCCTCCCCACCTTCCATCCACCCTCTCCCTATCCACTCCTTAGAGAGGTTCCCAAGGGGAGGCAACAAAGTCTGATACATCACTTTGAGGCAGGACCAAGGTCCTCCCCATATATCTAGGCCAAGTAAGGTATCCCTCTAAAGAAAATGGGTTTTAAAAAGTCAGTTCAAGCACTAGGAATAAATTCTGGTCTCACTGCCACTGGCCCCACAGACTGCCCAAGCCTCACAACTGTCACCCACATTCAGAGGGCCTAGTTTGGGCCTATGCAGGTTTCTGGGCTGTCAATCCAGAGTCAGTGAGCTCCCACGAGCTCAGGTCAGCTGTTTCTGTGGGTATCCCCATCATGATCATGACCACTTTTGCTCATATTATCACTCCTCCCTCTCTTTGATTGGACTCTGGGAACTTGGCCTAATGCTAGCTGTGGATCTCTGTATCTGCTTCCATCAGTCGCTGGATAAAGTTTCTATGATGACAATTAAGGTAGTCATTAATGTGATTACAAGGGGAGGTCAGTTTCAGAGACCCTCTCCACTATTGCTTAATACTTTAAATATTTTTATTTTTATTTTTAAAGTGTGTTTTTGTATGTAGTGTCTAACTGACTAATCATTGACTAATCCAAATTCACTTCATATAGGTTAATGGTGGCAACTTTTAGGTTTTTGGTTTCTTTGTTACATACATGGTTGCAGAGGAGGAAGAGAGTCAATAGAGTGCTCACCCCTGGCAAATGGTGATAGACATTTGACTGATGTTTTAAAATCACATCACCACCTGAGTTTTCTCAGGGAAGGAGAGCCTCTGGTGTGGACACCTCAGTTAGTGGCATCTTTCTTCTTTACCCTCTGTAGAAAGTACTGGGCCTCCCTGGTAAGATGGCATTAGCATTGCCATCTTTTTATCTTCTGACTTAAGAAAACCCGGTCTCCCTGGCCCTGCTGAAGCCTCTGTTTCCAAAATGATTACCATTAATCTAGAATAGATAGGACTTCAGAATTCATGGCCTAACTGCTTAATTTTAGGGAGTCAGTCATCTCCCACATTTATCATCAAATGTTTATGCCCTCTGTGAAGTAGATATTTTTCTCTTTCTGTCCTGTTTTCTAGATAGATAGTATTTGCTAAGATAGAAGCTAAACATAATGATACATCATAACTCACACACAGGTACATTATTATGTATGGTTCTGCTCATTGAGGTGGAATAAAATAAGGCTATGTAGATTTTTCCATTTCTTTTCTGCTTAACTTTCTCTTAAGAAATTCTGGACAGGTTTTGTAAAAGTAATCCATGGCAGGTTCCTGATCTATTTGATTTGTGTATCTGCTTTATAGGCTCTTGTAGGTCTCAGGGAGAAGAGCTCTCATCCCAAGAAGAAAGCCTTCAACTGAACAGTAGCTACCCAAAACCTACCCTCACCTCCACAGCAGTAAAGAGAAGACAGTCCCTGAGGCTAGTGGGCAAGAGGCAAAAAGGTAGACCAGGACCAGAGCTGATCTGCAGGTGAGGCCAGGGAAACCTTGGTATTTTTGTTCTTTCCCCCACAGCACACTCATCTGTGTGTGCTTTTCCATTGTTTTTATAGATGCAAAATGTCTCCTCCACACTCCATGCTATTCTCTACTCTTTTTATCCTTTGTTTTTTTCTCAAACCCTGTTACTGACCCTGCTTTATTCTCAACAGTCAGCAACTTCCAGGCACCCAGAGGTTGAAGATGTCGAGTGCACAGTATTTCCAGATTCAGTGTGATCCTTCAGGCTCTGGTTTGGGCAAGCAACTGACCCAGTTAGGTTCCCCCTTCCCGTGTTAATGTTATCCACTCTGACTTCTCACCTGAACCGGTGCTCCCTGGGTTGTCTTGGTCCCGGAACATTCCTTACATCATAGCACGTATCTCCAGTGTGTAAAGGGTGGCTCCTCCCAGAAGCGGCTCCTCCCAGGGAACTAGAGTCCTAATTCCTACTCCACCTGCTGCCAGTCCCTCTTTCCCTGTGCCTGTGAAAAACTCAGGGGGCCTGGAAGGACCATCTGAAAACCAGTACTCTTTGTCACTACCATAGACTCAGCCTTATGGAAGAGGATGAGGAAGAAGAGCTAGGACTTATGGATGGATCATGTGAAGAATGGCAAGGTGGAGACAAGGTGTGGACCCAACAGTCCCCTTTCCCAGAACTAGAGGCTGAGACACCTGTTGTCAGTCAATGATACCCTTGTTTCTGAAAGCTGCTAAAGGTTGTTTGAAAGAATCATAAAGGGAAGGAGGAAAGGTTGCAGACTTAGTTTATACTTCACTTTTCTTAAATAAGGAGCCCACTTATAATATCAGCACTTGGGAGACTGAGGCAAGAGGATTACTGTGAGTTTAAGGCTACTCTGAGCTATAAAGTGACTTCTAGGCCCAGCCTAGTGAGACCCTGCTTTGAAAACTGAAAGGAAAAGAAATTAGAAATGCAAAGGCCAGCAAGATAGTTTAGCAGATAAAGACCCTCCTGCTAAGCCTGAAGGCTCAAGTTCAGTTCCCAGAACCCATGTGGTAGAAGGAGAAAAATTACTTCCAAAATTTGCCCTGTGACCTATGCACAGTGCACACACATACACATGTACATGCACACATGCAAATAAATAAATGTTTTTAAAAAGGAAAAGATTTGGAATAGCACATTTCTTCACAGTTTCTAGATAAGTATTGTTGTCACTGAATTTCCCAGTAATTGGAAGAATTGACTAGAGTCAGAGACAAATCCCTCAGTTCCCCCCAGCCACACCCTTCCTTCCCTCCACTTCCCTGACAAGGCTGCCTGTCCCTGTCCTTCCACTTTCCATTTCTCTTTCCTGACTACCTGGTTTGTTTGTTTGTTTGTTTCTCTCCTTCTTCTTCTTCTTCTTCTTCTTCTTCTTCTTCTTCTTCTTCTTCTTCTTCTTCTTCTTCTCCTTCTCCTCCTCCTCCTCCTCCTCCTCCTCCTCCTCCTCCTCCTTCTTCTTTTTGTTAGTTATAAATGGATTAGCTCATTAGCTCAGGCTTCTTATTAACTCTTATAACTTATATTAACCCATTATTCTTGTCTATTCTATGCTAGCCACATGACTCAGTACCTTTTTCAGCGAGGAAGTCACATCTTCTGTGGCTGGGCCAGGACTGCAGACTAGGACTTCCTTGTTCCCAGAATTTTCCTGTTCTCATTGTCCTGCTTCTACTTCCTGTCTGGTTGTCCCACCTATACTTCCTGCCTGGCTACTGGCCAATCAGCGTTTATTTAAAATATAATTGACAGAATACAGACCATTGTCCCACACTATTCCCCACTCTTTTTTGGTTTTTTGAGACAGGGTTTCTCTGTAGCTTTGGAGCCTGTCCTCGAACTAACTCTTGTAGACCATGGTGCCCTCGAACTCAAAAAGATCCTTCTGCCTCTGCCTCCCGAATGCTGGGATTAAATGCATGCACCACCACTGCCTGGCCTCCCACTCTTTTTTTTAAAAAAAAAAAACAAAAAAACCCCAAGAACTCTGAATCTAATATCCTTTGTTTAACTTTTCTCCTGACCATTATCCATAGTCCATTTTTTGGGGATGTGGACGTAGTTTTTCAGGCTATTTCCTGCTGGTTGGGGGCACTAATAATCTTATGGGGACATACAGAAAATTTAGAATTATGATTAAGTCCTGCCTGGAGTATCCTGTGAAGCTTGATCATCTCAGGCAGCAGTCTTGAATCTGTTCTGGATGTAGAACTCCAGACATCTGAGCCATCTTGTCCTACCGGAGATTTCTCAGGTGATCTTCCTTGATCAAACCTGATTTTCTTAGCTCAGAATGAATCTACAGCCTCTCATTTCCTGTGGAAACAAAAGCAACACCTCTTCTCCAATGTAATATGTCTTTTGACTTCAATTTTGAAGTCAAGGTATTTTCAAAATACCTATCTTGGGTAAATTCAGCAGCATTTATAAGCAAATATCTTTTAGCAGCTGTTGTTCCTTCCTCAGCATTCAAACAATTCAAAGAGAATGTAATAGCATACAGTATCCAGACTCTTTGTATATTTTTCATCTTTCTGTGGCTTTATTTTAACCTTTATTTCTTTTATTTTTCTTTTAATTTTTGGCTTTTTGAAACAGGTTCTCTGTGTATCTTTGGCTGTCCTGGAACTCCCTCTGTAGATCAGGCCGTCCTTAAAGTCATAGAAATCTGCCTGCCTCTGCCTCCCAAGTGCTGGGATTAAAGATATATGCCACCACACCTTGAATTCATAGAGGTTCGTCTACCTCTGCTCCCAAGTGTTGGGATTAAAGGTGTGTGCCACCACACCCAACTACTTCCTTTTTTTTATTTTTTTCTCCCAAGCCTACATCTATTTTTAAAGACAGTAAACCATTTAGAGGTGTTTTTTTTTGTCTTTGAATCTGTCTTTACTGTATCTCTCTTTTTCTGACCACATGAGTCTTTAATTTGCTAAGCACTATGGGTAGGATTAAAGCCATGGCTTTGATGGCTGGATCCAGCCCATTCCTTAGCTTTCTGAGATTCCAGCCTCATGGCAGAGGTACTGGCTGTAGCCATGTTTATTGCCACAACTCTATGGCATTTCCAGGTCCCCTGCCACTACCAAAAAGCATGCCTACCTGGTTTCTTCAGTGGATGATCTGACCTAGTAAGCAAAACAGACAGCTTGAAGTGAGGTCAACTGAATGTGAGTCCTTAGTTTCATATCAAGTTAGTTGTTGCTTGTCTCAGTCTCACTTCTCCATCCTTACAATGGAGCGTTTATACATAGTGTAGAGTACAAAGCCTTGCCTCATAAACTGCAAAGGACTATGCCTTAACTCAGAGAAGCATGGATTCTAGGTTTATAAGTAGTGGATATTTATTCCTTCAGCTCTGAAAGCTAGAAGTCTTGAGTTCTTCTAAGCACACATGGGTTCTGGTAAGGGCTCAGTGCTAGTTGCAGGTTGTCTCATGCAGGCAAGAGCAAACTAAAACTGACCTCTTGTAAAGGTGCTAACATAGTTTTAAGGACTCCATGCTGTCACCTAAACATATTCCAAAGCTCACCTCTTACTTCTATGGGCCCCAAAATTTAAGATATCAGCATACATATCAAGTAGGTCTTACAGGAGACAGAGGGGAGGAGAGCCCCCTTGCAGATAGTCAATCCACTTTAGTTAGTACTGTGTGCTGTTATTTTATTGTTTTCTCTGTGGAGGGGAGAGAATGGAGACTTTGTTCTCAGAGGAAAATCTAAACAACACCTTCATACCTCTGTTCAAATAACCTGGCCAGAATGCTAGGACCATTCTATTCTCTAGCTCCATAGCTGAATGCATGGAAAGGGTTCAACCAGCAGGCCAAGAGAAGGATCATTTCTATGATTTATCCCTTGAGACTTCAGAAGGAACTGTGTTTCTGTTGGTGGGTTGAATTTAGAACAACCTTTCTAACTTTGGGCTCTGTTTGCTCTAGCAACTTCGTAGCACTTCTCCCAGTGAGCATGGGCTGGACCTATTAGATACTACAGAGCTGAACATGGAGGTGAGCATTCTAGAGCTACTGTGTGTGTCCTTGGAAGTGATGGTGACCAGTTGTCTGTTCATCTAATAGATGGAAAGACCAGAACCCGTGGGCTCCTCTATGTGGTCTTTAGGAATTCTTGTGGGGAACTAGAACAGAAGCCTTCTGTTTAATATTTGGTCTCTTCTCATGACTCCATGTTTTCCATTCTCCTTTTCATTTCAGGATTTCTGATGGAACTTTGGGCCCCTCCCCTTCTCCAGTTCCCACTTTAAGACCATGAGTAAACAGAAGGAAGGAGTAAAATGAAGCATTACTTTGGGCCCCAGCCGAGTACTTTAAAAGAAAGAGATTGGCCTTGTTTTTCAAACCTCCATTTCTTTCTGAATTGGTGGCTATATAGAGAAGCCATGAGCCCTGTCATCCTAATACACCAGAGTGCTATGCTTCTTTCTGCCTATTTGCAGGGTTAGAGAGTTGGATAGGGATTGGATAGGGGACTTCACCTCAGCACCAGAGTTTTTTAAACATTTGGTTTTCTATGTGGTACTTCTTCCCTGAAACACTGCCAAGCATAGTTACAAGCTCTCAATAAACATGTTCAAATTAGCTGTTTCCAGGTATGACTTGAGATTGTAATGCTGATGGATATTGGTTTTTTTGTTGTTGTTGTTTTTGTTTTTATTTTTTGCTTCCGGACACTGTGGCCCCTATTTAAGTGCCTCCATACCCTCAGATATTTTGTGTATAGGTCCTCAAGAATCAGTCAGTGAGATGAGTGGGACAGATGGCTAAAGAGAGTTTAGCTGTCTCTGAGCAGTTACACTAAATATGAAAGTGTGGGCCAAAGTGAGAGAAGATGGCACTGATCGGCAAGTGAGGTAGAGACCTCTCCCAGAGTGCATGGACTGGTGAATGTCACCCAGTGGCTCTTCTCAGGGTAGTTTCTTACCCTTATCCCAAAGATGTATAAGTTTTCACTCTCATGATAGCTGAGAGAACAAAGATACAGAAATTACTGTACATATTCAACCCCAAATCTAAGAACTGGAGAAAAGTGACTAGTTTTCCCTAGCCAGGTCCTACAAGTCCTCTTGCACTGTTCTCTAATATGTATCTCTGGTTAGTTCTCTACTGTATCTCTCACCTGATTGCCACAAAATTGCCTCAGGAGACCTGCCTTCTGGAAACTGCCCATTTTAATTCTTTCTCTGCCTCTTGCAGCAGCATTGGACCTCTGTACTGTTACCAGATAGACAGTCACAAACATGAAGCCAACTTGGTGACTTTCTTTCTTTCTTTTTCTTTCTTTATTAAAAATTTCCACCTCTTCCCTGCCTCCCTTTTCCCTCCCCCTCCCTCTCTAGTCTTAAGAGCAGTCAGGGTTCCCTGCCCTGTGGAAAGTCCAAGGTCCTCCCCCATCCATACAGGTCTTTAAAGGTGAACATCCAAACAAACCAGGCTCCCACAAAGTTAGTCCATGCAGTAGAATGTCACTACAGTTTCTGTGACTTAAGAAGCTCTTCAGCCTTTCTGTGGAGATATGATTCAAGTTCTTTTCTCGCCCCTTATTATGAATCCCTTCTGTGCACCACCATCCAGATAGTGGTTGTGTGGAAAGAAGTCTTCCAGTAATCAGGCCACCCATCTCAAACCATTTCTTCCAAGACTTTTCTGGTCTTGCCCCACTTTCTGTCTCCTTCTAGGTAAAAGAGGAAGTTGGAATGTGAGTCTCTTTAGAAGGCAGCCTCATGCAGCAGATTCAGGGATCCAAGGAATCTGTAAATAGTTGGAACACTGAGGTGAAATATACAAAAAATATGAGGTAGAAGAATCTAGGAGAGGAAAGATCCCTGAGGTATTTAAATACCAGCTAAGTTAAAGATACTTCAGAAATGAAAAGAGAAACTTGGAGAATTTCTAAATGTGGATAGCAAGATAGCAATGTGATAAGTTGATTCTGGCCTCAGAATCTACAGATGTGTTAGACCTCTCACCACTCAGGTCCCAACTTATTGATGCAGTGTTGGGAGATTGGGTCACCTTCCCTTTGAATATGGGCTCTCTCTTAGGGTTTCTTATTGCTGTGAAGCAATAATGGAGAGAAAAGGGTTTTATTTTGCTTACACTTACTACTAATTGTAGTCTATTGAATGAAGTCAGGAAAGGAACTCAAATAGGGCCAGAACCCAGAGACAGGAGTTGATACAGAGGCTACAGAGGGGTGTTGCTTACTGGCTTGCTCATCATGGCTTGCTTGGTCTGCTTTAGAACCCAGGACCACCAACCCAGGCATAGTACTACCTATGGGGCCCCTCCCCTCACCAATCACTAATTAAGAAAATGCTCTTTAACTGGATCTTATGGAGGCATTTTATCTCAACTGAGGTTTCCTCATTTCATATGTTTCTAGCTTGTATCAAGTTGACATAAAACTAGACAGGATGGACTCCAGGTGCTCAGCTAATAAAATATGATAGAAATGATGCCAGACCAATTTATGGGCTTAGATTTTAAGGAAATTGCCCAATTTTGCTTACAGTTTCTTAAACTGGGCAGTTCTGGAGTCAGGCACCCCACTGTGAGAAAGCCTAAGCAGCCACATGGACAGGCTGTGTGCAGCTATTCCAGCCAACAACCCTTTCAGAGGTTTCAGCCAGCATCCAGCTATGTCCAGCCAGAACTTGCTGCCAAATGTGGTCTAGACAGGAATTAGATGATCCCAGCCCCAGCTTGTAAGTTTCCCCAGAGAAGGCCCAGACACTGGGAAGCTGAGATGAGCCATCCATCCTATACTCACGTTTTCCAAAGCCCTAATCAGAATCCTTGAGTGTAAGAGGAATTTTTTTTTTTACACTATGGAATCTAGAGAGGGTTGTTGTGTTACCATGGTAACTAGGCCATCCTTAGAGAGACATCAGTCCAAAATTTGGAGATCTTTTTGTCATTTAATTTTTTTTCCTTATAATCCAGGTGTGGTGGCACATACTTGTAATTCTAGGACTGGGAAGGCTGAGTCGGCAGACCACAAGTTTGAGGTTGGCCTGGGCTATATGGTTGTTTTTTAAACACATTGTTTCAAAAATAACTACTTGTAAATGATGTAATTATAATTTCATGATAAAATTATAAATATTTGTAAGTTGTGTTCATATTTCTTCGTTTTGTACATTATAATGTACATTTAAATATAATTGACAAGTGTATCTGTATCAGTTAATTTTCTGTGATAAAGTACCATAAGCAAGAGCAGCTTATAGAAGGAAGAGATTATTTTGCTTACTGTTTCAGAGGGATAAAGGGTCCATCATGGCAGGGAGGAATGGCTACTAGAGTTAAGCAGAGAGTGACTAGAAGTTACAAGGCTTTGGATGTTCAAAGTCTGCTTCCAGTGAAAAGCACTTCCCCGTTCCAAACAGTGCCACCAACCAGGACCAAGTGTTCACATCCAAAATAGTGGGGCATTCTCATTCAAACCACCATGTATTTAAATAGTTGGTAGTTAGAGGTATAAAATACCTTTTGATGTTTTTAAAAAAAGGTTTAGAAAAAAGAAACATACAGTTCTAACAACCTCTGTAACTTCAAAAAGGATTTCAACGTTAACCCAAATGGCATAGATGACTTTCTACATTTAGTGCTTCTGCTTCAGTAGAGAAGTTTAACCTCCCCCAACCACAGATAAAGTCTCCATTTTAGGTAGCACCAGAAGATGATTTCCAAGGACAGATAGCATCCCCTTTACAGGACAGGTCAGAACTGATTTCCATTGTGAATGGCAGTCTGGGAGACACTCTGGGAACTGAAACCCTGTAGCACTTCAGCCACTCAGTGGTAATGCCTTGTGTGTTTGGCTTGCTTTTCTTCCCTCAGAAATGCTAGTCTTGTTAGAGATGGTCTGTGGCATTTGAGTGCCACTGAAAGCACCAGAAGAACAGTTTTGTAGTTTGTACATGCATGCACATTCTCCCTCCCTCCCTCCCTCCCTCCCTCCCTCCCTCCCTTCCTCCCACTCTTCCTCTTCCTCCCTCCATTCCTCCCTCTCCCTTTCTCTCTCACACACATAAATTGTGTGTGTGTGTGTGTGCGCATGTTTCTGTGTGTACCTACATGCATGTAGAAGCCAAATGTTGATATCAGGCATCTTCTTCACTGCCCACATTATCTTTTGAGTTAGGGTCTCATTGTACCTGGAACTCATCAATTCTTTTAGACTGGCTGACCAGCCCTCTGGGATTCTCCTATCTCTTCTCCAACATTGGTTTTGTATGCATGTGTCCAGCTTTTTTTTTCATATACATGGTTCCTAGAGATTGAACTCAGGTCTGCTTGCATACATAGTAGGCATTACAAACTAACCTACCTCCCCCACTCCTTGTATATCTTTTCCATTTTTATTTTATGCATATGGTTGTTTTTCCTGCATGTATGTACCAGCCAGATTGAGACGTGCTCAAAGGGGCCAGAAAAGGGCACTGGGTCCCCTAGACCTGAAGTTACAGACAGTTGTAAACTGCCATGTAGGTGCTTGGACTCAAACCCAGGAGCTCTGAAGAGCAGCCAGGGCTCTTAACCACTGAGCCATCTTTTCAATCCCAAGATTTAATTTTAAGTATTTGTATGTGTGTCTGTGTTATGCATGTGTGCAGGTGTACTCAGAGGCCAGAAGAGGGCATTGGAAGCCTTGGAGTTATAGGTGGTTGTGAGCACTTGAAATGGATGTTAAGAACTAAACATGCTGAGAGCCAAGCTCAGGTCCTCTGTAAGAACAACAAATGCTCTTAACCACTGAGCCACCTCTTTAGCATATTCTCTATTTTAATTTAAAAGTTAGAAATGATCTTCATTTCTCCTGAACATCTGTGGGTGGCTTAGATACCACTGGGTTTTCACTGCCCTTCTTAGCTCAGCTCTGTTAAGAAGCTGTTGGCTAAGGCATGATAGGAATCTCAGCAATATTTCAGACTGGCCAGGCCTAGGCCAGGTTGGGCCCTGAGCTAAGGCCAGCTTGAGAGGCATATATGGAAGCTTTTCATGGGTTTATAAGTAATGGTAAACAATGCTTTTTAGGGCTCTAACTCTATTCTGTTAGCTCAATATTGAATAATTATTTTTAAATCATTTAATATTCAGAAAGGCCTGTGTATGGTTGTGTGTGTGTGTCGGGGGTGGGGGTGAGGTGAGTGGTACCAGGACCTGACCCATTCCAGTAAAATTTTCTGCTACAGATATGTCCCAGCCCCTTTAATTTCATTTTTGTTGAGACAGAGTCTTGCACTATGTATCCCAGGCTGTCCTTGAATTACAACCCTTTGCCTCTACTTTGGTGCTCTGATTACACGTTTCTAATAATCATTTCTGGCAAACTCCCCCACCCACCCCATAATACAAAGTTTATTTAGTTTCTCCTGTAAGAGCCTCCAATATCGGAATAGTTGATTCTCTTTAGAAATCCAAGGCATTTTTTCCCTGTAAACCTGTAAACATGTATAAAACTAAGAAATAATTTATTAGAGGGAAATGGGTTAGGATCCATAGAACCCAGTAAACTAGAATATAGTAGCGTGTATCCATAGTCCCAGCATTCTGAAGGCAACCTGAAAGGCAGAGACAAGGGTTCCCTAGAAGCCTGGAATACACAGGGACAAGCAACATGAGACTCTGCCTCAAACAAGCTGAGAGGTGAGAACAGACACTCAAAACTGTCTTCTGAATTCCATATGAATGCCGTGGTACCTGCATACTCATGCTTACAGACAGAACGATTTTAAAAACATAAATAGCACAGAGTAAATATTTTCATTCCAAAACGGACAAATGTGGGTATAGCAAAATAAAGATAGGAACAGAATAAGACCAAAGCCTAGTAAATGGCATGTCTAACATTTCAGACTTATGAAAGAATCACAGTGAATGTCCTCACACCTGGTACATCTTTTCTGAATTGACAGTTCTCATCACTAGCCAACTTTCTTACAAAGTGGGGAGGGTACAATTTTAGCTCACAGTTCAGAGAAATTCAGTCCATCATGGTGGGGAAGGCAAGGTGGTGGGAGAGATTTGGTCTGTAGCACTACTCAGGAAGCAGATATATTGAATGCCTGTGTTCATCTCAAGCTGTATCTTTTATCTTGGTGGATAAGAGTGCAAGAATGAGAACCTCAGTTCTGACACCTGTACCCATATGAAATGCCAGGTATGGGCCACACGTTGGTGGCCATATCAGAGGAACTGTAGTCAGCAATGGAGCTCATGAAGTTCAATTCACTGAATAGCAAAGCTAAAGCCTGAATGGGGCAGTGGACTGTCTCCAGAATGCCCCTTGTTTCTGTTGCCCTCCCTCCTGCTTGTTGCTGCAT